ACCTAGACACAGGAGAACTATTGTCGTGAAAGTGTTGTACAATCGATTACAAATTTAGATTGCAGAGAGTTTGTTCTGAGCGCTAAAGGCACTCACGATAGAGCACATTTTGCTTTATTCTAACAATTACGCTCGGTAGGACAAGATTACAAGACTGGGAACACAGAAAATGAACCGTCCAGCATACGCGCTGGCAGACCACCACAGAAAGTCATTGAAGAGTTGTGGAACTTTTACTTCTTCCGGAAAGCACCATCGTGTATTCCCGTATCATTATTATCAAGACACCATTGTCGCTGGATATTTTTAGTTAAACCTTTAACCCTCCCACCCTCCCTGAGACGATCCGTTTCCCACCCACCCGGATCCCGCCCAATCAACAATCACTTCATCTCGTAAAGTGTACCAAAGCAGAGTTGGCCTACTGACATAGGGAGAACATTACGCATGTAGAAAAAACGTGTCATTAAAAACTTTGTGGAACCGGTATTGTCCCGTATACCGATTAAATAGTAACACAGGTACACATGTATTGTGGTACGGTAGGCATGTATCAGTACAAACTAAACCAGGGTAGTGCTAGGTGCTTGAACTATCACCAAACAGCTTCAGAATGCGCCAGCAAACACCTGCAACGTGATTGCTAGCTACAGTAAAACCTTTGCTTCTGTAACACCTTTTATGAATACCTACATCCACACCCAACTGCAAGAGTCAAACATACCACGGAACCATTGTTTTAGGAATGAAACCAGGGCCACACCACGACAAAATGTCTTGCATCTCGGGACACGACAATGGGTATGGTGCGGTACGATGGAAGGGATTCCGTTCCAGACGTTTCTTTCTTAGGATACCAGCGCAACCGTATGGGTCATTCTCAAATGGTTTGGCTGCATTTTGTAGCTCCCCCTGCATGGACTTTTCTAGATTGAAGCCCGTGCTGGGTGGCGGATTCACACCCAAATAGGAGAATCGGTGAGCTGGCCATCGAATTGCTGGTGCATGCAAAGTCTCAAAGCGCCTTCGTTTGAAAGTAAAGGATACTACAGAAATCTTCGTAGGAAAGCGGCCCGTTAATTCTTTGAAACGGCAGATGGAGAATAAACTGTTGAGGTGGAAAAAAAAGAAACGATAAGTTACAAAAAAGAATGATTTGTCCAGTATCCACCGAAGAAGCGCATGCGACATCTCACAGATTTTGGAAGCTGTCCAAGGCATACTCCTCCGTAGCCACCCTTGCTCTGACATTGCTACCCTGTGGCCACATGTTCATCGCATCGGCGGCATAAACATAGCTTGGCCCTTCCGATCCAACAGTCATGGCTCTTGTTTCTCCCCCAGAGAAGACAAGCAGACTTTCCGGGTCGCGCTTTGCCTCATTGATACCAGTGCTGATATGTGCTTTAATTGCTTGTGGCAAACCTTGTCCTTTCTGATATTCCAATAGAAACCAATCAGATTCGTCTTCTCCAGCATCCTCGAGATCGCCTGAGATGATGGTGCTGTGACCAGCGACAACTATCAAAGTAGATGATGTTGGCAAATAAGAAAAGATTTATGGACAAAAACCAGCCACAAACCCACCTATCAAGTGTTTCGCATTTCTAGCTGCAGAGTTCTTGTCAAACGGCATCGCATTGGGACCAACCCACAGTTTCCTTCCAGTTTCCCCAGACGAAGACTGCCCAGAAATAATGACTTTTCGGCCCAGTAACAGCCCAAATACGTAGAATCCTGCAAGAGATCCGATGCAAAAGGCAAGGAAAGGAGAAAGGTGCCGTTGTTTCGTCCGACGACGTCGTTGCATGATACTGCAGGTTCAAATCTATCTTGACAAATCCACATTAGGGGTTGTCGATGAACCCGACCCAACTCTTTTTATTTTTTGGGGGCAGCTGTGATTGGTCGAGCCAAAAAAAAATAGTCAGAAAAAAAATAGTTGTGCCGAAAAGAGACCCAAATATAAAAAATATAGCTGGGTCTTCAAAATGTAAAATACGTCGTGTAGCAATAGACTTACTAGGAGGATGATAAAAGTAAAGGAAAGTTGATAGACGTTCGTAAAAGGAAATCTAGAAAGTTGTGATGATGTGTGTGGTCCATCACCGATTCT